CCATGTTTATAGCAATTAACAGTCAATTAACAATGTTATGTGCACTTCGTTGAGTTTTGCTTACTTGAATGGACTGAAATATACTTTGTTACTTCTTAATTCTTCCTTTATAACAAAAATATTTAATTTCCTTAGTAAAAATAAAATACCCAAGGATTTGAACGGAATACCCAAGAACCCAAGACCAAGTCAAAATACCCAAGATCTTGGGTAAATACCCAAGCAGTGGTCACGCTGCTACTAAATGTTGTTCCCAATACTGTAATGGATTGTTTGGTTGGCGTGTACCGCATTGCTCTGACGAGTGTGCGAGACAGCGTGACCACTCACAATTTTTGATATACCAATTGACTGGGTCGAAATTACCCAAGATTCAGCAAAAATTGCCCAAAATTACCCAAGCTTTCTAAAAATGCATCAAAATTTGAAAAACACATGTTTTTCGCATGTATAGTTTCCCTTTTAGTTCAATTTATAAATCATTTTTTATTGTAATTGTTTGTGTTAATTATTTAAATTAATATAATTGAGGTGAAAATATGCCCTCAGTCTGCCAGTGTTATCAGTGATCAAGTTTTACTATGTAATGCATTAATTAGGAAAGATCAATGGCAACGCAAATCACAAATATACAATTCTGAACCCATTTTATAGCAATTAACAGTCAATTAACAATGTTATGTGCACTTCGTTGAGTTTTGCTTACTTGAATGGACTAAAATATACTTTGTTACTTCTTAATTCTTCCTCTATGACAAAAATATTAAATTTTCTTAGTATAAAATACCCAAGGATTTGAACGGGATACCCAAGAACCCAAGACCAAGTCAAAATAGCCAAGATCTTGGGTAAATACCCAAGCAGTGGTCACGCTGGTCTCAAGCCTGGCTTGACTCACCGTGAAACCTATAGAAGAAGATTGGAAACGACCCGAGATTTGCTTTGTTCTTCCATCCCGGCGATTCGTTGTGTGTTGCACGCTTTTGATATGCAAATTCAACCAAACATGTTTCAGTTCATAATCACTGAGCCATGTAAATGAAAACAACTACCGAATAGGCGTCCCTGACATCGTAGACGAACTTGTTCCCGGCCGAAACGGCCCTAGGCCTATAATGGCTAGGCCACACTGTAGGCCTAAACTAGAGTATAATTTAAGGCAGTATTTCGTATTTATAATCATGTAATCCATAAAGATATTTATTATAGGTAAAAACAGGTTTAGCTAATCTTTTGGTATATTACCTGTCAATGACTAATGGTTCATGAATATTAGAGAAAAGTGTGTTTTAATAGCTGAAACATTCAATTACTCAAAAAGCAGTAATTAATACGAAAATATGTCAATTGGACTGTTATTCTCTGATTCTGAACATGACTTACTAGGTACACACAAAAATACCATTTCTGTTTTGGTAAATGATTTCAGCTGAACATATATGTGCTTATAAATGTGTGTAAACTGTACTATGGAATTAGTGTGTTACTTCAATTCAGGCATTACCGAGTGTCGGGACCCGGTTAGCCTAGTTGGCCTGGACGGCATATAAAATATAAACACAGCTCACAATGTTGTAAAACAACTCTCAAATAAACTTTTATTCTGTATAAACTCCAACAAGAATCCGGTATCAAAATAATACAATAACATTCATACATAAACACGTGTTTCAAAAAAAGCTCCTGAAAGATAAAACTATCAGCTTATATAACCTAGCTGTACAACTCCAGAGCATTCAAGATCATTCTATATTGCCTAGGTTCCTCATTGGTCACCTTAGATTATAATTAACCAATTAGGCTTATTTGCCTCAGTACCCAAGATTCTAGAAGCTTCCATATATTACTCTTGGATTCTACATGGTGTCATGTTCATAAAATTACCAATGTGGTTTACACTGTTTCTTTGATCAATTAAATGTTATTCTAGAATCTTCTGTGTATTAAATATGTTAAAGTAAGGCAAGGAATGGTAATTTATTACAATCCACCCTCTATCTGAGCTCAAAACTCTTCCGTAGAGTTTTGAGGGCATGGTTTACATGTGGGTTTATAAAATTAATCTTTTCCACAATAAAATACTCTCTTATGAAGTAAACTAGAAATTCAAATTGCAAGTGAAGTGCTGCGAAGTACAACTGCATATAAATGTTCTTCGAACAAAATTATTTATGCGAGTCAAGTGAAAATAATGAATAATAAAACTATAACAAATAATATGAGACACGACCCATTGTCTATATTAGAACACTTCTCATTGGGTAACAAAGTCGTAATTTTTCATTTTTGTCAAAAAGTGTCTATAGTGTGGTGAATTATGGTTTAGGTTTTTTTTAATAAAGTTTCAAAAATTTCCATGTATGTGGAAAATGTAGTTGATTACCAAAGGTTACAATTTTTATTTTGAACTAGACTGCATGCTCTAGGAAGTGTACATTTTTTATGGGGCAAGTTTCCAAGGGCGGGTTTTCTAGGGGCGAGTTGACTGCCAAAGAGTGTTGCCAAAATGCGAGCCAGCGTGTTATTTGATCGAGACATATCGATCACAAGTGTGAGCCAGCGAGCCATGACGTCACGACAATAGATAGAGACGTTAGCCAGTTGTGCGAGGTATCGGCTGAGATTTGTGGAGTACAATTCAAAAAACAACTTAGGTCTAAAAATGAATTATTGTGATGTTAAATAGACAATTAGCTATCAAAAAGCGTTGTTTTTCATTGGGACCTTCGTCTTCTAGGCTAGGCCTATACCATCCTAGCTAGTCTAGGCCTAGAGTAGGATAAGGCTAGCGCGACATGCGGACGTTGGTACGAGTAGGTTAGTCTACAAACGTCGCCTAAAGTAATTGATTGACAAATATACATCTTTAGCTTATAACTGAACATACATTGTAGAAATACACAATCGCATAAATTAAATGATAACTTGAACAAGATCATATGAAAAGCAAAATATAGATTTCGTACAGTTAACAGGCAAACTTTAAACAACAATAGTTTTTTCTTTCGTGTTGTCTTCCTAGTTACCCATACTTTAGAAAACAACTTAACCAACTCATCAGCTATTGTAGCTTCAATGCTTAGCAATGGAATAACCTCGGGATATTTAGTCGCATAGTCACATAGGACAAGGACATACTTATTCCCTGACTTACTTCGTTCCAGTGGATCAACAATGTCCATGGCAATCCTTTGAAATGGTTCGCTAATTATCGGCATTGGAATCATTGGGGCCTTAAACTTAGTCTTATACTTTGAAGTTTTCTGGCAACTCTCACAAGTGCTACAATATTCTGTTACATCCTTTCTAACTCCTGGCCAAAAGGATTGCTGTACGGTGATCCTATCTAATGTCTTTTTCTACCCATGTGACCTGCCAGTGGAATATCATGTGAGACTTTCAGCACACTGTTACGACACGGTTTTGGAACTACAGTACTAACTGTTCTAGTGGATCAGATTGGACTTAGGGAAAATTTGTCTGAATAAGACGCCATCTTTACAGACTATCTGTATATCCTCTCTCCCTGTCTGTATTAACATTTGTTTTCTAAGAGGATCCAAGGTCGTATCCTTAATCTGATAGTCTTTAAGTGTATCTACACCTATGTCCAAAATATCTAACTCTCCCTTCTGACTAGACTTGGCTTCCTCTCTCTTTGCAAACTCTTGCCTGGCCTTTCGTTTTTCACTCCTAGTCTTGGAAACCTTATCCTTAGGAGGACTGTCCATAAACATTGGACCATCCAAATGTCCAAACTCAGTCTGAAAATTTGAAACGTTTGATTCATCTAACTGCCTTGGAACTACGCCACAAGCCTGTTCCTCCTTCAACTCGTGCTCTTCTCTATGCCTATCATTCCTAGCCTGAGTCCTAGTTACAACTAAGCTATGAATGTCCTTAATACCGTTCTGTAACAAGAGTTCAAAATTGGGAAAATCCCTACCAAGAATCACATCTTTAGGCAAATTTTTGCAGATGCCTACCAATAAACTATGGTCTTCATTTCCCACTTTAATGTTTACATAAGCTGTAGGGTATGCTTGGACATGGTCATGGACACACCTACATGTAACCTTAGCCTGGTCTTCATGATTGATTTTCTTAGGCACAACTAAATCAGTATGAACAAGTGTCATGTCACATCCAGAATCTAACAACATTTCACTATCACAACCCTCCACTAGGCCTCTACAATGGTAAGACTTATGTTTCACACTATCTGTTATTTTTGACAAGTAGGCATCTTTACTGCGACACAACCTTTCAATATGACCTACTTTCTTGCAACGTCAACAAACAAGAGGTGGTCTAGTGTCAGACTGTGATTTGTGACATTGATCAAATGGTTTAGTACTACTCTTAATTTCTGCTTCAGCAGTACCCTTATCAGTCTTTGCCTGATTATATCGACTTTCCGAATTTCGAGGCTGAAACCTCTTGTCAAATTGTACACCTTTTCTAGCCTGAAAATAATTATCTGCTAGTTCTGCAGCATTTAAGCCTGATTTTGGTTTGTGCTCTTTAACCCAAATTTGTACCCCTGTGGGCATAATTTCAACTAATTGTTCTAAAATTACTATTTCTGCCAAATCATCTTTACTTTTGTCATTAGGTTTAGCCCACTTGGTAAATAGATCCTTTAGCTTTACATACATATCTCTATTACTTTCCTCAGTTTTCTTTCTAATAGCCCTAAACCTAGCTCTGTCTATGTCTCTTCAGTAATATCATACCTTCTTAATATGGCTTCTTTTACCTTGTCATAGTCATTGCTATCCGTCACTGGTAGTGCTGCATAAGCTGCTCGTGCCTTGCCCGTCAAGTGAGGGATCAATTTCACCACCCAGTGCTCCTTGCGCCACTCGTAGGTGTTAGCAATTCGTTCAAATGTGGTTAGGTAATTCTCGATATCATCACCCTCATCCAACTTTGCAATCTGAATTTCCTTCAGTTTCATAATGTCTTTAAGACGTTTGTCATCACTTTCCTTTTGTTTATCAATCAGCGTGGTTACTAAAGCCATTTGCTTGTCCATTTCTAGCGTGTGTAAGGGCTCTTGTCTTCCCATTTCTTCCTGGCGTAATCGTTCTTGTCTTTCCATTTCTTCGCTGTGCCTCTATTTCTTCCTTGTGCCTCTCCATTTCTTCCTTGCGCCTCTCCATTTCTTCCTGACGTTGCTGATCCTGTCTATTAATCATCTGCCTTATCAGCTCCTGCTGTTGCAGTTGCTTCTGGTGCAGAAATAAGAACAAGTCCTTATTAACAACTCGCTGCCTTGAAGGTTAAGTCCACCAGGTGCCACAGCGTTTGCTGCATCTTGTTCTGAATGTTGCGACTGAACAGATTGCTCATCTGTGTCATGATTGTCGTCGCCTTGATACTCCTTACCGGATCTTGTTGTTGATTGTCCATCAGCCATTATTAAATCTTGACGAGGGGCTTGTTACTAGTAAATCGTGGTTACCGATACGTTCACAAGTCTACTGCTCCAAATACAAAGATAGTCAATGTCCACTGTCTAAAAAAAAAATTACAGACTACTTACTGTAATTGTAGAAAATTCACACAGTTCGTTGAACAAAACGATATATAAATCCTTGGTTACAGTAGAACACAACCACAGCTGCTACTATATGTCATGCAGTAGAACAACCGCCGCTGCCACCATAATATGTCATGAATTCCTACTTGACGTATTTTCCAGCGGTATAGAAATGACTAGGAATCCCTCTTTGACATATAAAATATAAACACAGCTCACAATGTTGTAAAACAACTCTCATATAAACTTGTATTCTGTATAAACTCCAACAAGAATCCGGTATCAAAATAATACAATAACATTCACATAAACATGTGTTTCAAAAAGAGCTCCTGAAAGATAAAACTATCAGCTTATATAACCTAGCTGTACAACTCCAGAGCATTCAAGATCATTCTATATTGCCTAAGTTCCTCATTGGTCACCTTACATTATAATTAACCAATTAGGCTTATTTGCCTCTATAGTACCCAAGATTCTAGAAGCTTCCATATATTACTCTTGGATTCTACATAGTGTGATGTGTTCCTAAAATTACCAATGTGGTTTACACTGTTTCTTTGATCAATTAAATATTATTCTAGAATCTTCTATGTATTAAATATGTTAAAGTAAGGCAAGGAATGGTAATATTACAAAGCCTATTGTAGCCTTATGTACGCATACCATAAATTTCAGACATTTAAACTGCAATATATGTGTTTATGTATCTTTACCTTTCAAAGAAATTGCCAAAGTAAAAGTTAAAATTTTTTTTTATTATATGTTCAGTACCGCCACGAAAATATCCGCTTGTCTCTTGTGTGGAAGTTGCCCGCTTGCGGTTCGAAGAATCCAGTCGCGTTTCCAATCTCCTTGTATAGTTGTCTTCGGTCACACTAGAGTCTCACCGCGGGTGAGGTTTCAAGCCAGGCTCGAAATTCTGGACGCAGGGTTCCCGGAACGCCGCCCTCAGCGGCGAGTGCGAAGCACAACTCAGGGTCAAAAGTGGAACGTGAAATTTGGATATGGTTTCGTAGTCAGATTTGAGAGAAAAAATTCAGCTACCCTTATTTCTCGACTGAAACGTCAGTGTGGAGCTGTAATTTGTATGGCAAGGAGATTGTGCAACCCTTCATTCGTATTAAGGGAATTTACGCCCAGAAACTTTGTGGTTATTAATATTTTGGTTATAATAGAAAATATTCATTTTTTGGTGACGTCACACTCACATTAGTTAGCATGCATACGTCATAAGCTAGATACGTCACCTTTTCCTGGTAAGGCAAACTTGTCAGGCGTGGTTTTTTCATGGATAAACAAACACCACTGCTTTGCACATGGATGCCTTGCCCAAGTCTGGGCTACAAGAGCCGCATTGTTAGCATTGTATAATACTTAAACAAAGTACCTCTGCAAATGAATTATTCTTAGTTATTTTTTTTTTCTTATTTTAATTTATTTCTTCCGAAAGTGTACTCTCATATAATTCCAACGCTGGCCTCTAAACAGCGATCATAGCCTAAAGGCACAATAAACCTATTAAGAACAAACGAACCGCCAATTACGAAGGTCATTTACGAGCGATAACTAGGCCTTTGATGTACTATCATACAGACCGGCTTCAACAGCGCAGCACCGCAGTGGGAGGCGAGGACATGAACAACAAACCATGAACAAACCAAGTGTCCGATGTTACTCCAATAGTAAAACCACATGCGCAGTTTAAAGTTCATAGTTCAACTATTGTTCTTCAGATGCTCTGTTGATCGGCATTTCGCGGCCTATATTTCCCCGAAAAAAGCAAAAAAAATCCGATAATTTTTCGTTTGTCTGTACTCATACGAAAATATAGCTATCATTTATAATGTCTATAATATTAGATGATTTTAAAGCAAGATTGAAACACTTTCCTAACGGTTCCTATCGATGAAACCTGGTGTTATTGGTGCGTAAACATGTGTTCGTACTCCTGGTACTCAACGATAAACTGTGCCCATGCGTGCTGCGTGTTCGTAGAGAAAACCTCATTATAAATTCGATGATTTGGCAGGCAGTGACGTCATTGAACATGGTTTTTGTTGGCGATAGTTCCTGTTTAGTGGCATATGCCTATGTTTTCCAGGGAGTTGTTATTAGGCCTAGGCCTAGTCTTATGCCTCATCGTCCCCCGCTACACAGTACATCAGCAGCCCCTCCCCCATACAGTACAGACGTTTGCTAGGTAACAACGTGATTGCACCTACCTTCCCAGGTGTTCATGCAACATTGACAGAATTGTTAGCTAACCAGTTCTGTGTATTTCTTTGTGAAAATGAGTACCGCGGCGTACTCATTTTCACAAAGCATTTGCATCCCCTCTTGGAAAGAGGGATTCGAAATAATTGTCTCCATATCTTCGCTAATTAAATTAATCACCGTAATTTAGCTTACACTTATGAATTTAGGGAGCAATTAAAATGTGAAATTATCATTTCACTACCCGAAAAACTCCGAACTTTATTCATTCATTAGGCCTACATAACAGTTTCATATTGTTGTACTATATCACTGGCGCATGGTAACAACCAACTGACTGCAGACCATATCCGGTCACACATTACTCTCCATAACACAGCACCCCCTAGTTCCGTCACCTCTGGTTCGGTCACACTATACCTGAATTTAGTTGGATTGACCTCCAATTTAGGAAAGTCGAAACAGGAAGTTAGAGCGCCACCACAGTCAAAATACCGGCCCCACGCGCGAAACATTTTTGCGGTCGATCTTTATCATAGACCTATGATAATGGACAGTATATTGGATGATCTAAGCCTAGGCTTGGATGTAATGGCGATGCTAGTTTTCGGATTGATAAGTGCATATTTTGACAACTGAAGATTGCGTCTTAACACATGAAGAACTCACGAGGTTTTTTTATTCAAGCACTTGTAAACGCAACGGCGTCATCGACTGTGATTGGTCGGAATGTCAATCCCGGTCACGCCAGGGTCAATCTGGGTGCTGAGCCGGGATCGAGATAGGTAGATTGAGATCACGCCAGACGCGAGTCGATCCAAGGGCGGTCACATTACGAAAATCTCACCCGCGGTGAGTCAACCAGGCTTTGAGACTCTAGTGTGACCGTAGTTTTCATGTTTATCCACATGAAAAAAGCACGCCGGGAAAGTTTGCCCACAGACTGTGGTTTGCCTTACCAGGAAAAGGTGACGTCATCTAGCTTATGACGTAGGCATGCTAACTATAGAGTGAGTGTGACGTCACAAAAAATAAAAATGTTCTATATAACCAAAATAATAATAACTACAAGGTTTGTTTGCGTAAATTCCCTTAATACGAATTAACAGTTGTACCATCTCCTTGCCATACAAATTACAGCTCCCACTGACGTCTCAATCGAGAAATACGGGTAGCTGAAGTTTTTCTCGCAAATCTGACTACAAACCCATATCCCTGTTCCCTGCCCATATCAAAATTTCACGTTCCACTTCTGGCTCGACTTTGAGTTGTGCTTCGCACGGCGGCGTTCCGGGAGTTGACTCAGAGCCGTAGTAGTAGAGCATAGGGATATAATAAGAATACTAGAGCGCTAACAATGTATTCGACGTTCGAAATACGCAGAGCTGTGTGTGTGTGTGTGTGTACCATCCAAGATGGCTGCCATAGATTCCGCCAATCAAATTTCGCCTAAGCACTATCATTTTCAATGGCGCCCTCAATTTGCACAGAAAGTTCAGTACAGCTAGTTATCCGTATGTTTGAAACTCGAGCGTTGCGGTGTATGGGTGTAATGTACATGATTAAAATTTTTTTTTTTGAATTCAGATCTTCTACTTGGGCGCCTCTTTTTGGCTACAATAGTTTAATAATTTGTTACTATCAATACCAATTAGATAATAGTCAATCAGAGGGCTTATTCATGGTAATAATATGCATAATAAGCCAGAAGGTGGCGCTTCCTACAGAGCCATCTTGGATGGTACACATACACAACTCTCAACTCTGCATTCCTTCGCCATCTTGTAAGCACTCTAGTTGTTTAATAGCTCTATGACATAGAGGGAGTTTGGCCAACTCGGTTTCACGGGATTCTGCTATACGCACGTGTGATTGGGTGGATCGCAATCACATGACTTACACCGGCCATGTTGTCACCAAAACAAAACATTGGCGAGCCACAAACTAACGCGATAGGTTATATTAAAATCCCATAATTGAAATGTCCTCATGAACAGAATAATAAAATAAAGTTTATGCAGCATCAGTGTTATAAAGCTAATACATATATTTAACCTAATTTGCATATGAACAGGACATGTGACCATGGTGTGATTTCTGCAACTTATCCCCTTATCACATATCTTGATATATAAAAGAAAAACCCCTTTCTTTACAAGATGTTCAGATTGTCTATCCTACTGTTAAATTAGTGCTTTCAATCAAAAAGGTGTCGTGGCTTTTATTTTGCATATGTAAGCTAACTTGTGTTTAGGACGAGATTTCTGGAATTTCATCCCCTCATTATATGTATTCTTTTATAAAAGAAAACATTTTTTGGAGTAGGTTACATCTAGATGTGTATAAGAGACAGCACCTACGGTCTACTTCAAAAAATTCCTGCATCCCACCACTTTCTTGCGACACTTTTCACTCAATTATTAGCTGACAGAATCCCACCCCCGCTGGTCGAATAGCTCAGTTACGTTAATACATAAATCAGGAGATCTTAGTAAACCCAGCAATTTTAGAATGATTTCCTTAACATCGTGTGTTGCCAAAGTATACCATCAAATACCATCATATCACAAAGGCAGACGCATTTGGATTCATTTGAACATAACCTGAAACATTACTCACTTAAGCGCAATAATATCCCAGGAAATGTGTGCAAGTAGGCCAAATCGCTTTATTCAATTCTAACCTACAGGGCAATGTCAAAGGCCCAAACTGGGAATTGACTGCCTTTAAATTTAAACGTGGTGTGTTCTAAGGAGACCCACTTTCTCCGATCATCTTTTTAACCGTTTTCGGCCCTATAATCCAGTTCTTAAAAAAAATGAAACGTCGTATGGTTATAATAATATGGGAGACCAACGATTCATTACATGTACAATTTGCAAATGATTTTTGGCTAATGACAAGTAATAAACGAATGTACCAGAATTTTATGAATAAAATTAATGGTATAACGAAATCGACGGGACTTGCATTAAAACCTGTAAAATGTAAAAGTATGTCAATACGCAGCGGAAACCCCAGGAATTCAAGTTTCAACTCGGCGAACATGAACTAAAAACTTTAAAGGACGCTCCTGAAATGTTAGGTACTATGATGTATTATAAAGGAAAAAGTAAGTATATATTTGACCACATAAAAAATACCATTTCTAATACTGTATAAGTATACATCGACATAAGCTTAATACGTAAAGAATACAAACTTCTATAGAGTATATGTTCAATACGGCATCCCTTCTTTAAGATATCTACTTACAGTGCATGAATTGAATGACGGTCAACTTCAGACATTAGACCATATCCATACAAATACAATCAAGGATGGCTCGGTATTTCCATCACAGGTGCGACTCCTGCTTTTATCCATAGTCCTAAAGGTTTGGGAATACCCACCCTTTTTGATATTGACTTGGAGTCGCATTTCTTAGCTTATTCTAAATGTATGATGAAGGCTGACTGTCGGGTAATTCATGCACTGAAGTGTAAACTGGAACGTGAAGAATCATGGGTTAGAAAGATGGAAAGAAATGGATCGAGGCAATAGAAGAATATTTACTCATCCGCAGTTGCTGAAGATGGGGACTCCTCTGGTTGGTCAACAGTCAAGCAACATGTTAAATCAATGTTGTATGACAAAAAAGACTAGACAAAAAAGTTCTAGACAGATTACATTCAACCCCTAGTCCAGCAGGGTGAACTTCTGAAACCTGCTCATCTAGAATCATATGATATTAAATGGAAATCTATCATCATAGCTTGCCCAGGGGAGTCGTCAGTTTTGCCACGCGAGCCTCGATTGATTTCTTGCCGACACGATGTAACTTAAAGATATGGAGAAAGTCCTGAACGCGTGTAGAGTTGCCCTACACCAAGGTCGTTATACATGGCGACACGATTCGATATTAGGTCTAACTGGCCTTTCTGTAGCTGGTGGATCAATTCCCCAAATATAGGCCTAGCCTATTATGTACAAGCCTTAAGCCAGACATATTCTTAATTGATGAATCTAACAAGGCAACCGAGATAATTGAATTTACGGTGCCACTAGAACCAAATATAACCAAGGAACATAATTATAAATGTAGCAAATATGACGACATCGTCAACGATATCAAAGATAAAGGTTATAAATGCACATTGTTTTGCCTGGAGGTGGGTTCTAGGGGAGTATTTTCTAAAGATAATGAAACAAGACTAAATAATATTTTAAAATTAAGTAATAAGCGATGAAAAAGTATAAAAGGCAAGTTAGCGAGCTGGCATTGACAATGTTAGGAACGCCAGACACTCACCTGAGTGTTTTTATTGTCTCTGTATTGCTTCTACCTTGCATGTGCCTAATTTAGCCATGACCTGGGTATTTCTGTGACATTCTTTTATTGTGTTTTTTTTTTTATTAAAGAATGATTTTATATGTTTATATAAAAGTAACAGAAGAGGAGTGTGACAAAAAAGAAAAAAAATCAGCCTCTACCGGAACTCGAACACCGAACCTTTCGCATACATGGCGAACGTCATAACCACTTGACTACGAAAGCATTGTGGTGAAATCAAACTCCAGTAGAGTTTGAGTTTGTTTAATTTCTTTAACGTGTCTGACATCACGATTTTAATATATGCAACAAAAGTGGAGTTTGTTTAGCTTGTTACTCGAACCCCGAACCTTTTGCATACATGGCGAACGTCAAAACCGCTTGACTACGAAAGCATTGTGGTGATTCAAACTCCAGTAGAGTCTGAGTTTGTTTCATTTCTTAAACGTGTCGGACGTCACGATTTTAATATATGCAACAAAAATGGAGTTTGTTTGGCTTATTACTCAAACCCCGAAACTTTCGCATACATGGGGAACGTCATAACCACTTGACTACAAAAGCATTGTGGTGATTATATATATAATTATATATATAACAATAAATGGTATATATACTGTATATATAAAACAATAAATGGTATATATATCAAATGATACATTATAGGTCACTCACTTTCCAATTAGCTTTTGGATTTGTTTTAGGTATAAATCTTCCATCGAACAAATGAGAAAACGGACCATGACCTGAAAAAGAGGCCAAATGTTAGTAATTTTTAAATACAACAATAAGTATGTTACAGCTGCATAAAAATAGTAATACATTGGTAGTAACATGAATTAACCTCAGTTCTAAGGGTTTCTACGCTACAAAATGTACCAATATTCGATTAGCCCATTTAAATAATATATGGTACAGTATTTTAATATATTATAGTGTTTACATTTATAATTGTAATACAAGAAAAGTGAAAATAAAGTCAAACCGAGCGCTCTCACAGGCCGGAGTGCCTCTCTCTTACTGTACAGTGTTCTCTAAAGATTTCCCACACCGGTTGTACCCATTTATAATTCTTGGTAGAGAGCACAGCAACAGACTAGATGAGGACACAAGCAACCTAAACTTTAAAGGGAGCAAGACCTTACAATAGAAAGCATTGGCCACGGATCTTTGTATTGGATTTCTGTGGTGTTAAACACTTAGGATAACTCACTGGCTAAAGACTTATTTCTAGTGAGGTCCTTCTGGTGGATTGGGCATTGGAGTACACCAGGAGACCATCTCCTATTGTACTTTTTTTTACAGTGTTCTCTTTTTCACTGCGTGCATAGGCTGCGCAATTGAATTCTGTATAAACAGCCCTCCAGTCTAAACAATGGGAATTGAATCAGGGACAAATTTAAAGATTCCCAAGTTTCAGCGCACAAAAACGTGACTACCAAACCACCAGTTTTAGCCACTGAGCTTAGCTGCCAGTAACAATTTGATTAAACCTAAAACAAATTACAACAAAATAGAGTTTGTTTGGCTTATTCTTTTTAGGCCTATTATGACCCTAATGAATATTATATCAAAAAGTTACGAAAACCTTACACCACTGGAACGTAAATTAATTATTGAATACATCTATATTATGAATATTAATTAGAAAATAAAAATGGCTTCAGCTTAATAGAGAAATAAATACTGTCATTTGGACCTTAGTTTAGTTTTGTACCTAAGTCATGGCACAGTCCTGCAATCTCAACGCACAGTATGTCTGTGTCAGTAATACCCAGCTCCGGCTGTCTCTCTTTTAAGGTTCTTGCAAACCTACCAGCAAGATGCGAGACTCTAAAATCGAAAAATTAAAAGCTGTTTATTTGATGTTTGAAACTCATTTTTACTAAAAATATACTAAACACTACAAAAGTTCTTGTCATGTCATTTTGCCAACCCCCATTATCTGTTGACAAAGTTAAAAAAATAATCAATATCCAACTATGAGTAAATTTAACTCTTAATTTCATTATTTTTATTATATTTTAATTGCATAGGAAACTAGCATTACCACACAGTGAACTGTGCTACGAGATAAATTATAGAGCAGTACAACTCTCAGAGATATAAACATGTAACTACTATACCCAATAGAATGTTCAAATCGGTTATGTGAAGCTCCTGGGTAAATGAAGTAGCAACAGCCGAGCTGTTTGATTTGACGTAGACGTTGAAACTGAGATGTATTTATGATTTTAACACACAGCGGATGAACCAGAATGGTTCCATGTATCGGATCGTTGAATATCTGTAATTATGGAGAAACGTTTTAAGTCCAGCAAACTTTGGTTGGTTGCATTTTTTTTGCTAAAAAATTGGATACATTGTAGAATAGACATCACTGAATATAAAAAGTATGTGCAACATTTTTTTTCATGCAAAAGGGAGGTAGCCAGCAATTTCAAAATGGCCACCATTTTTAAACATTTTATTACAAATAATTGTACTTTAGAAGATGTTACTATACTAAATAATCTTTCACATAACTGGCAATAAATATAAAATAATATTTTAAATCTAAATGGCTGTCATTTTAATATTTTTAGCTATTTTTAGCAAATATTTAACTTATGAAGTTAATTACTTAATTATTAGGCATTTGAAATGGAACAAATTGCAAAGAAATAATTTAAATTATAATTAAAACAAATACACAGGTGTAGGGTTGGTAAAATCCAGAAAGTACACCTTAGATAATTTGCAAATTAGCTTAAATACGCAAATTAGTTGGAGATACATTATATCTTTACAAGCACTGGTCGTACAGAGTTGCTTTCTTTTTCAAATTTATCAGACCATATACATTTCTATTTGCATTAATGTGTTCGTAGAGACTTCGTTTTGGTCTCAAATTATTCAGATACATGTTTCCTCTTGACAGTGAAAAAGATATTTTGTGAAGTCACTTAAACCATTTCCTAAGCTTTGGCCTAACAAGTAATTTTAAAATGTTACATACTGGTCAAATTTTCAAACATGTATTGCTTTTGTAGTACACCTTAATGGAAAACTTTTTATTTAAAAAAAAAAAACGCCTTTTCTAACCACCACCAGCAAATAATAATAGAGATCTTCAAGTACATACTATGTTTCTGCCTACTTCACTGACGAGTAGTAGATAAAAATATATTCATAGTTTTTACTTCAGGAGGTAAATGTTCTGAGGCTGTTTTTATTGTGAAAACACTCAAACCACTAAGGGAGTCGCACAAAAACTGACAAAAGTTTTGTATTTTGGTAGTTCACCTGAATCAAGCTTAGTACTACTTTTCCGAACTTATATTCTTCTAAACCATCAACTCCAGAATGGTCATGATTTTATATTTGTCAGTGACATAATTCCATCACTGATTACTTGACCTTTAATTTTTATTTGACAAACAAAATTTCTTACAGGAACCTGTAGTTCTTTTGGCAGAAATTCTCAAATATAGATTACTAATATATAATCCATATACGGTACGCCGGTTAACCTCACAATTAACACTTCAATAATGTGCACTAATATATTTCTGATGGCTAAGAACCACACTACCACTAACTCCACCCAACAACACGGATTTAAAAAACACACTCTGATAGTAAAGTTGATGGTATCAGATGTCTAAATAAGAACTTTAAATAATGTCTAAAAGAATTTTAACAACTTGCAAAAAAAAAGATCAATTGAACAAAACTATAAAGACATACGTTTAATGGAGAGGCAACTACAATTGTGTAATTCCTGAACTCTGGCTATGTTGGTGTGGTCAGTTGTTTTTCGTCAACTCGAAAGGGTTTTTTTGCCACTCACATTTTTTTTATGTCATTCAGTTCATCCATTTGAATTTACTAGCACAGTTGTGTTGTCATGAATAAAAGTCATTCTGTTTAAAGGTTCAAGTAAAGCAGATGTCTCCTCTTTTGTCGTCACCTTTTAAAACTGTGATTAGTCAGTTTCTAGATGCCCAGTATGGTGGCCATTTATAAAATCATTGTGTGTTTTACGGTATGAGAAAATTGTATTTTAAAAACATTTACTAAAAGATTTATGTCGGTTATATAATATAGACCATTTGGGTGATTTTGCTACAGTTTTCTGAAAAATTGGTTGATGATCAAAATCACTTCTTTACTAATTGTCATGAAATTCTGAAGGAAGAAAAGAAATTTTTCTAAAATTTATATAATTCTAGTAACCTACCTGATTGCAATATTGAAACTTTTTTTTACCTTCATATGATATTATACCAAAATTAAATGACGAACAAAAACGCTCTAATTACTTTAATTAAATGAACGTCTTAGTGCAGTGATATTGGTCAGTATTTAATCAATTGTTATAATTATGTATTACTAACGTAGTGGGATTATCAACCTGATCTGATACCAAAAAGAGATAAAGACCCAAGTAGGTTAAAAAATTGGAGGCCAATTTCACTCCTTAATACAGATATAAACTTATTACAAAGTGTAATCCTTTTAGATTAAAAACAAGTACTCCCAAACATAATTCATGCGGATCAAACAGGTTTTTTAGGTCATTGTATTGGTGAAAATATCCATTTAACCTTTGATATGACTGAATATGTAAATAATAATAATAATAGTTTAATAATTATGGTCCATTTTAAAAAGGCCTTTGATAATCTTGAATGGTCGTTCGTATTTAAAGCGCTTAAACATTTTTATTTTGGTAATGATGTTATAAAATGGGTTCATGTTTTCTACAGTATAATGATATTACGTCTTGTGTAATGAACAATGGTCATGCATCCATGTTTTTTAAACTTAATCGAGGTCTTCGGCAAGGCTGTGTGTTTTAAATTAATAAGTCAGAGGTACCCTTCCTTGGCAAGTTAATAAATAATCCACCTTATACTGGTAATTTAGGTGTCAAATTGTCTCCAAGATATTGTAAAGCTTCTTGGCATCTCTTTTACCATTGATCAAAATTGCCTTTATGAGCTAAACTATATTGCAAAACTTCAAAAGCTTAAGGATATCTTAAGAGTTTGGTCAATCATAGATCTAACCACGCTCGGTAAGATTACAATTGTTAAGACCTTGGGTATTTCTCAACTTGTTTTTCTTTTTTCGGTTTTACCTAACCCCCAAGTCATTTTTTAAAAGAACTTGACAAAATCATATATAATTTCATTTGGTCGGGAGGACCATGGATAAGGTTAATCGTAGTACAATTATTGGTGATTATGCTGAGGGTAGTTTGCGAATGTGTCATATTCCATCCATGATAAAGGGATTAAAAATATCTTGGGTTAAAAGGCTTTTGACCAGAATAACAATGGTAAATGGAAAATATTTTATGTTTATCATTTGAAACATATGGATAGCAAACTTGCTTGGCACTGCAATCTTAGGCCAACAGAAAAATGCATTTCTACTATAATATATTTATTAAAGATGTTTTTAGTTCATGGTGTGATGTTACATTTGAGATATCTTATTCTGGTTTTCCAAATCAAATTATATGGAATAATTCATTAAGACAGTTGAAGAACTTAATCCGAACTTTGCGAAAAAAAAAAAGTTGATGCAAAAGCAGCCTATTGGAGCGTGAAATTATCTAAAAAGTCACAACTACTTACCACTTTTAGGACACCATTTGGTCGATATTGTTTTACACGACTTCCATACGGTCTAGTAAATTCACAAGATGAGTTTTAAGAGAAAATCGGAGAGATCTTAAGCAAATGCAGAGGAGCAGTAGGAATTGCTGATGATATCATCGTGTATGGCACAACCGAAGAAGAGCGTGATACAAACCTTCTCGAATTTATGCTGTTAGCAAAGGACTATGGTCTCGCACTCAACTCTGCAAAGTGCACAATGAAAACAGACAGAATCAAGTTTTTTGGACGCATCTACACTGACAAAGGTGTCTTCCCTGACCCAGAGAAGATAGAAGATATTGCCAATATGCCTGAGCCATGTGATAAACAGGAACTGCAAGGTTTTGTTGGCATGGTAACCTTCATGTCTAATCACATCCCAAACTTGCAAAATAAATTAGCACCTCTACGTGACCTTCTTAAGCAGGACGTACCATTTGAATGGGATGATGACCACAGAAGGAGTTACAAGCTAGTCAAAGCAGTTACAGACGGTGTATGTTTGAATTATTATGATCAAACCAAGCCTGTCACTCTAGAAGTCGACGCATCATGTAAAGGCCTGGGTGCAACTTTGATCCAAGAGAATCGCCCGATTGCATTTGCTAGTAATACGCTGACGCCCACACAATCTAACTACAGTAACATTGAACGAGAATGTCTTGGAGTAGTTCATGGGATTGAGAGATTTCACCACTATCTATTTGGGAGACCATTCGACATAATTAATGATCACAAAACTCTGGAAGTGATAGTTAAGAAGCCATTGTGTGCAGCACCACCCAGATTACAGAGAATGTTAGTCAAAATAATAGGCTACGACTTTGAGTTAAAATACCGACCTGGTAAGCAAATTATTTTGTCAGATGTCCTATCAGATTACCGAACACTGAGAAAAACAAGGACATTTAGCAGTTAATGTGTCAAATGTTAATATCGACATGCACGCTACACACCTTGACCTCATCAATTTCTCACCAACGAAAAGAGCACAACTGAGAGAAGAAACTAAACGTGATAGAACACTACATGACTTAACCCTACCTACCCTATCTACACTGGATGGCCCAGTGAAATAAAAGCCTTACCTGCAGAACTTAGAAGCTTCTGGAGTTATCGCGATCAACTTGCAGTTGAGGATGGAATCATATTTAAAGGACGTCAAGTACTTATTCCAGAAACAATGAGAAACACCATCTTACTGCTACTACACGAATCACACCAAGGAATCGAAAAGACACGAAAGCTTGCTCGTGAAAGTGTATACTGGCCAAAAATAAATACAGACATTGAGAAAATATGCCAAAATTACAATGCTTTTCAAGAGCTACAACCCCAACAAGCAAAGGAACCAATGCTGACGCATGAAAAGCCTTCAAAACCATTGATCAAGCTTGGTACCGATTTGTTCGAGATTGGTAACAAAAACTTTCTCATACTTAGCGACTACTACAGCAGATATCCTGTTGTGAAACAACTCGCATCTACAAATGCAAGAGCTGTTATTAACACGACCAAAGAAATACTCAGTTTGTTTGGAAAATGTTCTGAAATATTTTCCAACAACGGCCCCCAGTTCCAGGGGGAGTATGATGAATTCTGTGCAGAATGGGGCATAGATCATAGAACTAGTAGCCCAGGAGACCCTCAATCGAATGGGTTTATTGAACGACAAATCCGCTACATAAAGCCTATCATAAAGAAATGCTTGAAAACTGGTGGAGACATAAATAAAGCATTATTGAATGTAAGAGCTACACCACTAGACACCAGTATACCAAGTCCAGTTGAACTAATGTTCAATCGACCAATTCCGACATTAACGCCAAGTCACCAGCCAGCGAATAATGCACAGCAGCAGCATTATAGCGATAAACTGCAACAAGCAACACAACTCCAAAAGGAATATGCAGATAAGCACACTCGTGAACTTCGACCATTAAATGAAGGAAGCAATGTACGTCTTCTTGATAAGTCTACAAAAGAATGGAAACCTGCAAAAGTAGTAGAAAAATGTACAGCACCACGATCTTACATTGTACAAGTCGAGAATGGAAATCTTCTGAGACGCAATCGCAGACACCTGAGAAGATCGTGTCAGAAATATGATTGACAAATTGACTTATTGATAGTCATACAAGCTGTTGAGTTTTGAAACATTGTTTTGTGAACAGTTGACATTGTATTATTAACTTTGGAGCATTGAACTTTGTTTATTCTGAACACTGAGCTTTGATTTTGAAGACTTGCAATGTGAAAGCATTGAACTTTGTTTTAATATTTAGAATAGTTAAAATGTTTCAATTTGGAACGAACTTTAGTACTCTAAATCAGTTACTCTAATATTTACCTAATGTTAAAAGAATTAAAGATATAATTATAAACCATTTATATAGTTAATCTATATACCCATCGTTTGCTACGTTAACTTAAAAGAGGGGGATGTAGTGATATGCTGCCCTCAACATTATGCTGCCCTCAATCTTACCATAACTTACCTCAAAGATCTTATAAACACAAGATAGCGTTCTCCGCGATTTACGCGTGCAAATTCTGTAATAAGGCATGAATGGCGCCCTCTTGCTAAATTGGAAACTTTTGACCTTTGACCGCTCTGACCATACCGAACACCGCGGTATCAATCCTGTGAACAGCAGAACAGGAACCATCTCAGATCCATGGCAACAGATAGGACGCCCTCTTCCAAAACTGAGTACTTTTTCTCTTTGGTATAATAGCGCATGAATGACGCCCTCTTGCTAAATTGGAAACTTTTGAACCTTGACCGACGCTTCTATTTGTTACGCGTAAATCGCGGAGAACGCTATCTTGTGTTTATAAGATCTTTGTTACTTTTTCTCTTTGGTATAATAGCGCATGAACGGCGCCCTCTTGCTAAATTGGAAACTTTTGAACCTTGACCGACGCTTCTATTTGTTACGCGTAAATCGCGGAGAACGCTATCTTGTGTTTATAAGATCTTTGCTTACCTCAAGGCAGGCAGCCCGCGCTACAGGCTTAAGGGAGTCCAGTGAACACGCCATTACTCTGTATAACGTACAGTGTTATTGAATAAAATATTGATGTTCTATATATGTTTAATGAGTCGACTATCATTAAATGCCTTATGTTGAGCTCAAGAATAAATTTCAAATAAATTGTAACTTCATGGAATATTTTTTTAAGTGCATGCTATACCAGATGGTTGGAAACACGCTATTGACATTAACAATTATAAAGAAAGTACTGTAATCAAGATGAGATGCTATCTGCACTTGTTAAATATTAATAAGATTTGTAAAATGATTCATTCATATTGTATTAAAAAGATATTAAAAATCCCCAGTTGAATTGAAATGGGCCACCGTTTTTAACAAACCTGATTTAGATTTTGAGCCTGTGATTTATCCTAATGCTTTTAATTGTTCCCTGTCCACAAAAATCAAGTACTTCCAATATAGGTATATTCATCGTGTTTTAGCAGTAAATGATTTAAAAAAAATTAATATTAATAAATCTAACTTGTGAATCAAAAACAATTTTGCATTTTGCGAATGTAGTATCATTTCTGATTTTTGGAATCAGGTCAGATCTTCTGTCCTAAGGAGCCAGGTGGCTTTATTTTTTCAAGATATATGCTTTGGTATTTGCAATGGTGATAATAAGCATTTTGATCCTTTTATTCTTTATGCTAAATATTTAATTTATTTATGTAGATGCTGTAAAAAATTCCAAATATTGTACACTTTAAAAATATGCTTAAATGTGAAAAGTCAGTGGAGCAGTGTAGCTATTATAATGGTACAATTCATTTAGTGGTTGCTTTCAGGCCATCGGTCTAATGGTAGCATTGACTGTCTGAGTTTATGAATATTATTATATTGCAGCAAGATGTGTATAATCCCTGCAAGCAGAAATGGTTCCAGAGAAGGGTATTTTTACCATTTTATTTAGCATTTCTTCTATATTTACCTTATTTTTCGAGTGGAAATGCTACAGTTCATAGGAATAGCAACGTTTTTTAATTTTCGGCCTGCATTGGTAACTATGATAAGTCACAGTTGGATCTATCGCATCGTACTCTCAGCTGCTTAGAATTTCCTCATGGCTGGTTTTCAATATCAGCCAATCACGTAGGCCTATTCAGTGAGTCAATGGCGGTCAGCTCAGAGCATACCCCACAACACTTAAATTTGCTATTGTGACAACCGTGTGGTGGCGTCAGAATAGCCAATTTAACACTGGAATGGAAGCGATGCTTCCAAGAGTATGTGTGTCACAGAGTGGACCTTATAATGCGTTACACTCACTGTATAGTGCATCAGCGTAATAAATATTCATGATTAATGGTTGTTTGTGTTCATTGTGTAGAATCAGTATGATGAATATGCATGAGTTAATGGTTGATTTAGCATTACTCCAGGGTAGTGGAAAGTTTCATGAATATGAATAACTTTTAGGCAAGTGGCAACTTCTGATAAGTGTAGAGAAAATGGGTGGGGGAATATTATGTTAATTTGTGTTAGCAGGGGTAGGCTTGATGGAGAAACCAGAAGGGAGAGGTAGTTGCATAAGGAAAGGCTTAATGGAAGGGTGTAAGCTGTGGAATATGATCCAAGCAGGGACATGTCAGCTATTAAGGTACACCAAAGATTAAGCAAAGTTAAGAGGCATAGTGAAGCCTACCTAAATGATATATGGTGATAGCTAGGAGCATCACAGTATTGTGCAACTCATATATAAGAGCCAAGTGGAGTTAGTTTGGCCGTGAGTAACGTTAATTGTTTACTGAATAACGTAATGGGATAGATTTAATTGTAATATTGCATAGGGTTGAATTAATGCAGGAATGTTGAATGTACCTGTGGTATGCATTATTAATGTAATATGCTTAGATTGACTTTGGATCTATGCAAGTAATATTGTGTATTGACTGTCTCTTATACACATCTAGATGTGTATAAGACGTATGTATACAATTGTACAGCATATTGGTAGCATAAAGCTATAGATTAACCATTTTATTAATATGAAAGTTAATCATGTTCCAGGATGCTTGAAATGATGTTTGTTTAGGATAACTATTCTAGAAAGTGTATTTTGTTAATTTTTAGATGGTCAGAGGAGTACAGCTTGAACTCCAACAACAGGCTTAAGACTTAAGAAGAAATTGAAGGTTTCAAGCAGCTGAAGTAAGAGCTGATATTTATTTCATTCAGAACCAACTTCTGTGGTGTGACAAGTAGTGACCCGGGAGAACGTCACATGTTTGGCTTCTCATCTGTATATAGCGCAAGGTATTATGATGCGAACTGAATGTTCGACATATTATTTTATTAAACACCTTATTTGAATTTATAACTATGTTTTTATGTTGACTATTATTCGCTTGTACGTGTACTGTATGTATGTGCGCAGTCACTAGGCTAACGTGTCAATTGTCTATTCTCAAAACGAGGTGACAATGTGCACATACTCTTCTTCTTAGGACCTCCACTCCCGATATTCTATCGTAAGCCTGGTTCTCACGAGACCCCTAGTATTCGGATCGGGAGCTAACCGTTAGCACCTGCGTGAGAACGCCCAATCGGTTAGCGCTAACCGTTAGCAGTATCCGGATACCGCTAACGATTAGCAAGCGCTACCGGTTAGCAAGTTGAGCGCGTTTTTATCAACCAATCACACGTAAGTGTTTACAATTTCCAGTTCCTTATTGGCCAGTGATTCGATCATCATATTTTTTGGTATCCGGATCGGGATTTTCTCGTATGGACGCACAGCAGCTAACGGTTAGCAGGTAACCGTTAGCAGCCGTGTGAGAACATAGCCTAAATCTATCTGTATCTCCATCTAATTTGCATATCTAAGCTAATTTGCATATTAACTAAGATGTAATATCTGGATTTTAACAACCCTACACCTGCGTATTTGTTTTAATTATAATTAAAATTATTTTTTGCAATTTGTTCCATTTCAAATGCTAGGTTTTATGGGCCTAATTAAGTAATTAACTGCAAAAATTAAATATAGGCTAAAATAGCTAAAATGATTTTAAAAATTTGAGGTAAAATATTTTCCTAAAACTACAATTATTGGTAATAAAATGTTTTGAAATTGCTGGCTACCCCCCTTCCGCATGAAAACAAAATAATATTTTCTATATATTAGTAGACTCCATCTAAAATCGATTAAATAAGCCTTTAAAACTTCTACATTGGCGGATCTTAAGGGAGTCAGGGGTCCTGACCCCCCCCCCACTCCCTTGGGCAAAAAAAAATGCTAGAACTACGGTACCTTTTCAAGACCCATGAGCTGATTTTTTGTTTGTTTGTTACAATAAGAAAATTAAAAGTCGGGAAAGCTCATTTCCCGCCATCTAAGGAACCGAATTTTTCTCGGGGGAGGACTACCCCCAACCCCTTTTATTTTTGGGGTTCATCGATTCATGGAAGAAAGAATACGTATGCATCGTATGTATACTGGTAAACACATAATAGACCTATTTACTGTAATAAGAATGAGAAAAGTTCACCTGACCACTTGCAAGTGGGAAATCCTTGAATTTTGAAGAACTTAAAAGTCATTGAAAGACACTTCAGAAGTCGGAAAAGCTAATTTCCCGCCATTTAGAAATCAGTATTTTTCCGTGAAGAACACGAACCCGCCTTTCTCTTTGGGGTTCATTGATTCATGGAATCGTTTTCAAGAGGGGGAAAACCTTGAATTTTGAAGAACTTAAAAGTCATCTTAAAAGTCGGGAAAGCTCATTTCCCGTCTTCTAGGAATAAAAATTCTTATTCAAAAAGAACTTTTTCGAGTAAATTACAAAAACACTTTATTGCCCAATATTATTAGTTTCTAATTTTCAATCCCATCCACCATCAAGTTACAAACAAATTCCGGCTCCGAATTCTGGTTCTTTCCCTGGTAATGAATTTGAAATTACATTATGCAAGAGACTAGACTGAGCGATTATATTTCAGATATCAGTACAATTATTTAGTTCTCACCTTGTAATCAACACCATTTTCCTCTTGAGTCATCGTGCTGTGTGATAATAAATAAACGTTCAGATTCACTTTATTTTTTTATATACGTTGAGTACTATATAAA